AAGGTCCAATGTATCTGGGACTTAACTTACCTTTCTTTCCAAACCTCATAATCCTTTTCCAAGGAGAAATACGAAGAAAAACAAAATCACCAACTTCAAATTCCAAATCTCTTCTTTTTCGCACATCTACATAACTTTTCTGTCTATCCTGTGCCACTTTCATACGCTGCTGAATTATCTTCACTTTTTCTGTTGTAAGTTCAATCAATTCTGGACCCAATAACTTTCTTTCCCCCACCTCATCCCAACACAATGGAGTTCTACATTTTCTCCCTTACAAAGCTTCATACGGTGCCATTCCAATAATAGACTGATAACTGTTATTATAGGCAAATTCAATCAACGGTAAATAATCATCCCAATTACCTTTGAAGTCCAACACACAAGCTCTCAACATATCTTCCAAAATCTGAATAGTTCGTTCTGACTGCCCATCTGTCTGCGGGTGAAAAGCTGTACTGAACTTCAGAGAAGTTTTCATGGCTTCATGCAAACTATACCAAAATCTCAAAGTGAACTTCGGATCCTTGTCACAAACAATAGAAACTGGAGCCCCATGCAAACATATGATCACATCAACATACAAACGAGAATATTCCTTTGTAGAATAAGTAGTTTTCACTGCCAGAAAGTGAAAACTATCACCCAAATAGAGTCATGTCCTCGTTTTGATCTTGGAAGTCCCGTCACAAAATCCATGGTTACATGCTCCCATTTCCACTGTGGAACTGGTAACGGCTGCAACAACCCTGCTAGTTTCTGATGTTTAGCTTTCACTCGTTGACATATCAAACACTTTGCTACAAATTCTGCAATTTCACGCTTCATATTGTTCCACCAATAGTATTCTTTCAAATCCCTGTACATTTTAGTACTGCCCGGATGCATAGCATATATAGAACTGTGGGCTTCATCTAAAATATCTTTCTTCAAGGAAACATCATTTGGAACACAAATTCGACTTTTAAAATACAAAATCCCATCATCCCTAACTATAAATTCAGTTTGCATACCCTCTTGATCTTCTTTTCTTTTCTTTTCCAGGAATACGTCATATATTTGCAGCTCTTTAATTCTATCCAGCAACAAAGGTCTCACCGTAACATGTGCAAACAATGCTCCTTTGTTAGTAACTGTCAATTCAACTCCCATCAGTCTCAATTCCATAATATTTGCCACCCCTGCACACTGTACACAAGATAGTCTCCCTGAAGACTTCCTACTCAAGGCATCTGCTACTACATTGGCTTTTCCAGGATGATGGTGGATATTACAATCATAATCTTTGATTAACTCCATCCAACGCCTCTGTCTCAAATTTAAATCCTTCTGTGTAAACAAATACTTCAAACTTTGATGATCTGTAAATATTTCACAAAGTTCACCATACAGATAATGCCTCCACAATTTTAAAGCAAAAACAATAGCAGCTAACTCCAAGTCATGTGTAGGATAATTCAATTCATGATTCTTCAATTGTCTAGAAGCATATGCAATTACTTTACCATTTTGCATCAAAACACATTCCAGACCCTGATGTGAAGCATCAGTGTAAATCACAAAACCTTCACCACCACACGGAATAGTTAACACTGGGGCTGACGTTAACTTTTTCTTCAATTCTTCAAAACTTCTTTGGCATTCCTCACCCCACACAAACTTTACTTCTTTCCGGGTCAACTTTGTCAATGGCAATGCGATACTAGAAAACCCTTGGATGAACCTCCGGTAATAACCTGCTAATCCCAGAAAACTTCTGACTTCTGTCACATTAGTAGGCCTTTCCCATTTCACCACTGCTTCCACTTTTGATGGGTCAACATAAATACCATCCCCAGATACTACATGCCCCAAAAAGACAACTTTATCAAGCAAAAACTCACATTTACTGAACTTAGTAAAGAGTTGTTTTTCCCGTAACATCTGTAACACAATTCTTAAATGCTTTTCATGTTCATCCACACTCCGAGAATATATCAAAATATCATCAATGAAGACAATAGCAAAAGAATCAACATACCGATGAAATACTTGATTCATTAAATCCATAAACACCGCTGGAGCATTGGTTAACCCAAAAGGCATTACCAAAAACTCATAATGACCATATCGAGTTCGAAAAGCAGTTTTCGAAATATCACTATCCTTTACCTTCAACTGGTGATATCCTAACCCCAAATCAATCTTAAAAAACACCTTTGCCCCTTGCAACTGATCAAACAGATCATCAATTCGTGGCAATGGATACTTGTTTCTGATGGTCACTTTATTTAACTGTCTGTAGTCAATACACAACCGCATAGTACCATCCTTCTTCTTAACAAATAACACCGGTGCACCCCACGGTGAAATACTAGGTCGAATGAAGCCTTTATCTAGTAAGTCTTGCAATTGTATCTTCAACTCTTTCAATTCTGTCGGTGCCATTCGATACGGAGCAATAGAAATTGGAGTTGTTCCTGGTACAAACTCAATGGTAAAATCTACCTCCCTGTCCACTGGCAACCCTGGTAATTCTTCTGGAAACACATCTGTGAATTCCTTTACCACTGGTACATTTTCAAGTGTCATATCTTTATTTTCAGTATCAACCACATAAGCCAAGTACCCCTGACACCCTTTCTTCAACAACTTCCTGGTTTGTATAGCTGAAATGAGACAGTTTGGAATAACATTTCTTTCTCCTGTAAATCTAAATTCTGGCTCCCCTGGTATCTGAAATACAACTTCTTTCCGAAAACAGTCTATTGAAGCATGATACGCAGATAGCCAATTCATACCCAAAATGATATCAAAATCTGGTATACCCAACGGTATCAAATTTACCTTTAACTGTCTATCTCCCAATTGTAACACACAATACCGGTATTTATTTGCAACCACTACCACTTCTCCCATTGGTGTAGAAATAAACAATTTACTAACTAATGATGAAAGTGGTCTACCCAAATGCATAGCAATAGATGATGCAACAAATGAATGGGTTGAGCCAGGATCAATAAGCACAGTAACATTTCTATCCAAAATAGAAAGTGTACCTGTCACCACTTCTGGTGTTGCTTGAGCATCCTGAAGTGTCATAGCAAACACTCTTCCCTGGGCTTGCGAACCACTTGTAACACCCTTACCTCCTCTTGACAAGTTCCCCTGTGCAAAACCTCTACCAGAACCAGCAAGACTGCCCACTGAGGTCATTCCTGTCAACATAGGACAATATCTCTTCCGATGACCTGGCTGATGGCAATGATAGCACTCTTCTGCTTTCAAGATAGGACAATCCTTCTTCTGGTGACCTTCCCTTCCGCACTGAAAACACCCCCTGCCAGTACCACATCCTCCAAAACTACCTTGTTGTACAGATTGTTGTTCGGAAAGCCCTTGACTTCTTCCCATACTTGATGTCTGGCCTTGAGATTCACCACCCCTTCCCCTTCCATACCGCGACCTTTGACTTTTCTGACTTGCAATTCCTTCACATCCTCTTGACTATGACGGCTCAGATCTATTTCTTTTGTATTGTTCCCTTCTTTCTTGTAATTCTTTCACATCCCTTTCGGCAATCATGGCTTTATTCACAAGTCTGTTATAATCTGTTTCCTCAAACACTGAAACTCTAGACTTAATAGCCGCCTCTAAACCATCTTGGAATTTTGTACATTTATCTTCTTCATTCTATACAAACTTGGGTGCGAACCTCGATAAAGCTGTAAACTTAACTTCATAATCAACCACATACATTCTATCTTGTTTTAGGAGAATAAACTCCCGTTCCTTCTCTTTTCTGTAAATTGGAGGGAAATATTTCTCATAAAAAGCTTTAACAAATGGATTCCAGAATATCACCTCTTTCTCTCCTGGAGTGAGCAACAAATGTTTTGTCGTGGCCCACCAATAACTAGCTTCATTTTTGAACATAAATGTAGCTAAGTTTACCTTCTGGTCTTCTGTTGCACCCATCACTGCAAATATCGATTCCATTCTTCTTACCCACCCCTCTGCTTCTTCTGGTTTGGTAATACCTGATAATTCTGGGGGTGTTAACTTGATAAACCTCTCATACTCAGAGCCTTTCTTCCATTTCTGTTGTCTTTCCAGCCTTTCTTGTATCATCATTTGACTCGCCATAAATAGTTTGTTTTGTTCTGCCAAGTCTATTATAGCCTTTTCCATTTTCTGCATACCAGTTAAGCACTCTTGTTCTCTTCTCATACCACCCTGCATAGGTTGTTCTACTTCAGCCTCAACAGGAACATAAGTGGCTTCACCCTCAGTTCCATGATAACCACTTTCCTTTTCCATTTCTTTTTATCTGCAATGAATCTCAAATATAACAACATATATATGATACATAATCACCACTTATATCTGTTAGTATAACATTAAGTCAAATAAATGACTCTACTACACACTTCTTACTGCCACTGCTAGTCTAGACTCTTATGACCTCCAGAACCTAGAAAACCTAGGCTCTGATACCAAAAGTTGACACACCCCAACCCAATTTACATTATTAAACAAAAGACGTTCCATTGTTCTTTTTCCCATTCCCACTCAAAAATTCTAGATCTGGCAGTAGCGACCCAACCTTGCACCTGAAAAAAATATAGATATGGAAGGAGTGAGCTTAAAGCCCAGTGAATGTAACACTACTACATCAGACTAATTTTAAACAACTATTATCTGATAGCTTCAATAAAACTTCATTAACATATTACATGCATTAAAATATAGTACTCTCTTTCTAGACCAGAGTATGGACCTTATATATTATTGTACTCTCCTTCTAGGCCAGAGTATGGACCTTATTTAAATATGGTACTCTCTTTCCAGGCCAGAGTATGGACCTCATTTAAAGTACTCTCTTTCCAGGCCAGAGTATGGACCTTATATATATATTTATGCATCTTCATTTCACATAAATGACTTCAATACTTCAATTTAACACATTCAATTGTAAAACTTTCAGTGAATACACTCACCTTGACTACTTCCCAATTTATTCACTTATCCTTTGATAGGGTCAAAGTTGTTTGCTCTTTCTCCTTGCCTGAACAATATTATAACTATGTCATATTCATTTCTAAATATAATTGAACGACAATTATCAACTTCATAACAAATCCCAATTCCACACACAATTATAGTAGAAAGTATAACAAGAATAATTATATTAACTTCAACTCCACAATTTCTTCAACTAACAAGTATTTAAATTTAAATATTATAGTACTGGAATCAAGTAAAATAAATAAAATAGATGTAATTGTAGGTAGAACCATTTAACCAAATTGTCCATGGAAATACCACACAATAAACCTTCAATCGAAAAATTCTCTATCTTTAATACTGGTAACCACAATTCCAAATAGAAATCTCGCCTCCTTCCTTTTACATTTTCTTCTTCTCTCTTTCTTGCTCTTTTCTTCTCTTTCCTCCTCACTCTCTCTCCAGCCACTTCATCCCATGGATTTCGTCTTTTGTCTAATTTTTATGGGTTCAATACAATGGCTACAGAAACTAAAATTTTGTTTTCTCATATACAACTTTTCACCCAAAGCTTGCAAAACCCACTACTCAATCTCGTCCTTTACAATAATAATAATAATTAAATATATATTAAAGTTATCAATATATATAAATTTACACATACCCAACCAAATTTGTATTTCTTCATAGAAAACCACTCAATCAAGGATAGAAAAAATGAAATTTAAATTATCATCAAAATGAATTAAATAGCTCAACTTGTGAAGAATAATAAAATTATATATATAAATCAACTTCCATGTAAACAAAGATATGAATTCCTCTACCTTTACCATAATCTAGTGAAAAATTCTCTTTTCCCTCTTTTCTATCTTCCTCTTCTTCTCCGTCTTTTCTTCTTCTACGGCTGAAAAATCCCTCCTTTGTTTCTATTTTTATTTTTATTTTTTTCTTTTTCTTGTCCATGCAAATCTCTAGACAACGTGTCACTTAGATATAAATGTGATTTTCCCCTCTTCATGACTCATGCGTGTGTGTGTCAATTAGTAACAGCCTCCTTTGGAAGCTTTTAGAATAAAGTGTATTACTAGATATCTACATACATGGGTAGGTGGAATATGTACTTGACCTGGTCAATAACTTACCCATATATATAAATAAATACTTGGTCAAACTTTAAAATAAAACATAAGTATATCAATATATATTAGAACCATCACACCACTTCCACCATTTATTACCTTCAGCACCAATGACCTTAGTATACACCCATTTTCTAGTATCACACACATAACCACACACACGTACACATGGAATATTATCATTTTTAATATTTATTTTCTTACCATTGGCTGTCACCAACTTAATAAGTTTTGACACCAACTATTAACTTCACCATACAAACTACTACATAAAATATTCCATAAATTATGTCTAATAAAAATTAAATTATGCTAATAAAAATAATTATGTATTGGGGCCTTACAATTCTTCCCCCCTTAAGTAATTTCGTCCTCGAAATTAAAATGAAAGAAACATACCAAATAAGTGAGGATATTGCATTCGCATAACTTCTTCACTTTCCCAAGTCGCTTCTTCAATCGTATGACCCCTCCACAATACCTTTACCAGTGATATAGTTTTATTCTGTAGCACTTGCTCCCGGCGATCCACAATCTGTACCGGTTCCTCTACATAAGTCAAATCTTCCTTCAACTTTATCGGTTCTGCAACTAAAACATGAGATGGATCCGATATATAGTTTCGAAGCATAGACACATGGAAAACATCATGCAATCTTGATAATTCTTTTGGTAATTCCAACCGATACGCCACTGCTCCTATTCGTTCCAGAATCTTGTAAGGTCCAATGTATCTGGGACTTAACTTACCTTTCTTTCCAAACCTCATAATCCTTTTCCAAGGAGAAATACGAAGAAAAACAAAATCACCAACTTCAAATTCCAAATCTCTTCTTTTTCGCACATCTACATAACTTTTCTGTCTATCCTGTGCCACTTTCATACGCTGCTGAATTATCTTCACTTTTTCTGTTGTAAGTTCAATCAATTCTGGACCCAATAACTTTCTTTCCCCCACCTCATCCTAACACAATGGAGTTCTACATTTTCTCCCATACAAAGCTTCATACGGTGCCATTCCAATAGTAGACTGATAACTATTATTATAGGCAAATTCAATTAACGGTAAATAATCATCCCAATTACCTTTGAAGTCCAACACACAAGCTCTCAACATATCTTCCAAAATCTGAATAGTTCATTCTGACTGCCCATCTGTCTGTGGGTGAAAAGCTGTACTGAACTTCAGAGAAGTTTTCATGGCTTCATGCAAACTATACCAAAATCTCGAAGTGAACTTCGGATCCCTGTCACAAACAATAGAAACTGGAGCCCCATGCAAACATATGATCACATCAACATACAAACGAGCATATTCCTTTGTAGAATAAGTAGTTTTCACTGCCAGAAAGTGAGCTGATTTCGTCAATCGATCAACTATCACCCAAATAGAGTCATGTCCTCGTATTGATCTTGGAAGTCCCGTCACAAAATCTATGGTTACATGCTCCCATTTCTACTGTGGAACTGGTAACGGCTGCAACAACCTTGCTGGTTTCTGATGTTTAGCTTTCACTCGTTGACATATCAAACACTTTGCTACAAATTTTGCAATTTCACGCTTCATATTGTTCCACCAATAGTATTATTTGAAATCCCTGTACATTTTATTACTCCCCGGATGCATAGCATATATAGAACTATGGGCTTCATCTAAAATATCTTTCTTCAAGGAAACATCATTTGGCGTCATCAATTATTCGACTTCCCCTTGACGTCACAAAGAGTGTTTTAATAAGTAAAGATTGAATCTTTGAATGAAAGTACCTCAATCAAGGTACCTGTTATGTCACTTGACCTATTTAATGCATAAAGATTGAATCGTTGAAAGAAAATGAGAGTTTTGAGTTAAACATATTCGAATTCGCTTTGGAGTCACAAAGAGCGTTTTAATGAGTAAAGATTGAATCTTTGAATGAAAATAGCTCAATCATGGTGCCTGTTGTGTCACTTGACCTTTTCAATGTATAAAGATTGAATCTTTGAAAGAAAACAAGAGTTTTGAGTTAAACTTATTCGAGTTCCCTTAGATGTCACAAAGAGTGTTTTAATGAGTAAAGATTGAATCTTTTAATGAAAATAGCTCAATTAGGGTAGCTGTTATGTCACTTGACCTTTTTGACGCATAAAGATTGAATCTTTGAAAGAAAATGAAAGTTTTGAGTTACAGTTATTCGAGTTCCCTTTGACGTCACAAAGAGTGTTTTAATGAGTAAGAATTGAATATTTGAATGAAAATACCTCAATCAAGGTACCTGTTCTGTCACTTGACCTTTTTAATGCGGAAAGATTGAATCATTGAAAGAAAATAAGAGTTTTGAGTTAAACTTATTCGAGTTCCGTTTGACGTCACAAAGAGTGTTTTAATGAGTAGAGATTGAATCATTGAAACAAAATACCTCAATCAAGGTACCTGTTATGTCAGTAGACCTTTTTAATGTATAAAGACTGAATCTTTGAAAGAATATGAGAGTTTTGAGTTAAATTTACTTGATTTACCTTTGACGTCACAAATAGTGTTTTAATGAGTAAAGGTATAATCTTTTAATGAAAATGCCTCAATCAAGGTACCATGTTTGTCACGTGACCTTTTTAATGTATAAAGATTGAATCATTGAAAGAAAATGAGAGGTTTGAGTTAAATTTATTCGAGTTCCCTTTAACATCACAAAGAGTGTTTGAATAAGTAAAGATTGAATTCTTGAATGAAAATACCTCAATCAGGGAACCTGTTATGTCACTAGAACTTTTTAACGTATAAAGATTGAATCTTTGACAGAAATTGAGAGTTTTGAGTTAAACTTATTCGGTTTCCCGTTGACGTCCCAAAGAGTGTTTTAATGAGTAAAGATTGAATCTTTGAATGAAAATGCCTCGATTGGGGTACCTATTATATCACTAGGCTTTTTAAATGTATAAGAATTAAATATTTAAAAGAAATTTAGAGTTTTGAGCTAAACTTATTCGAGTTACCTTTGACGTCACAAAGAGTGTAATAATGAGTAAAGATTAAATCTTTGAAAGAAAATACCTCAATCAAGATACCTGTTATGTCAGTAGACCTTTTTAATGTATAAAGACTGAATCCTTGAAAGAAAATGAGAGTTTTGAGTTAAATTTATTTGAGTTCCCTTCGACGTCACAAAGAGTGTTTTAATAAGTAAAGATATAATCTTTGAATGAAAATACCTCGATCAAGATACCTATCATGTCACGTGACCTTTTTAACGTATAAAGATTGAATCATTGAAGGAAAATGAGAGGCTTGAGTTAAAGTTATGCGAGTTCCCTATGACATCACAAAGAGTGTTTGAATAAGTAAAGATTGAATTCTTTAATGAAAATACCACAATCAGGTACCTGTTATGTCACTTGAACTTTTTAATATATAAGGATTGAATCTTTGATAGAAATTGAGAGTTTTGAGTTAAACTTATTCGGTTTCCCTTTGACATCCCAAAGAGTGTTTTAATGAGTAAAGATTGAATCTTTGAATGAAAATACCTCAATCAACTTACCTGTTATGTCACTTGACCTTTTTAATGCGGAAAGATTGAATCATTGGAAGAAAATCAGGGTTTTGAGTTAAACTTATTCGAGTTTCGTTTGACGTCACAAAGAATGTTTTAATGAGTGGAGATTGAATCTTTGAATGAAAATGCCTCGATCGGGGTACCTATTATGTCACTAGGCTTTTTAAATGTATAAGAATTAAATATTTAAAAGAAATTTAGAGTTTTGAGCTAAACTTATTCGAGTTCCCTTTGACGTCACAAAGAGTGTAATAATGAGTAAAGATTAAATCTTTGAAAGAAAATACCTCAATCAAGATACCTGTTATGTTAGTAGACCTTTTTAATGTATAAAGACTGAATTCTTGAAAGAAAATGAGAGTTTTGAGTTAAATTTATTTGAGTTCCCTTCGACGTCACAAACAGTGTTTTAATGAGTAAAGATATAATCTTTGAATGAAAATACCTCAATCAAGGCACCTGTTAAGTCACTAGACCTTTTTAGTGTATAAATATTGAATCTTGGAATAAAAATAAGAGTCGAGTTCCCTTTGACGTCACAAAAAGTGTTTGAATGAGTAAAGAGTGAATCTTTGTGTGAAAATACCTCAATCAGGGTAACTGTTATGCCACTTGACCTTTTTGATGCGTAATGATTGAATCTTTGAAAGAAAATTGGAGTTTTGAGTTTCAGTTATTCGACTTCCCTTTGACGTCACAAAGAGTCTTTTAATGAGTAAAGATTGAATCTTTGAAAGAAAGTACCTCAATCAAGGTACCTGTTATGTCACTTGACCTATTTAATGCAGAAAGATTGAATCTTTGAAAGAAAATGAGAGTTTTGAGTTAAACATATTCGAATTCGCTTTGGAGTCACAAAGAGTGTTTTAATGAATAAAGATTGAATCTTTGAATGAAAATAGCTCAATTAAGGTGCCTGTTGTGTCACTTGACCTTTTCAATGTATAAAGATTGAATCTTTGAAAGAAAATAAGAGTTTTGAGTTAAACTTATTCGAGTTGCCTTAGACGTCACAAAGAGTGTTATATGAGTAAAGATTGAATCTTTTAATGAAAATAGCTCAATCAGGGTAGCTGTTATGTCACTTGACCTTTTTGACGCATAAAGATTGAATCTTTGAAAGAAAATGAGAGTTTTGAGTTACAGTTATTCGAGTTCCCTTTGACGTCACAAAGAGTGTTTTAATGAGTAAGGATTGAATATTTGAATGAAAATACCTCAATCAAGGTACCTGTTATGTCACTTGACCTTTTTAATGCGGAAAGATTGAATCATTGAAAGAAAATGAGAATTTTGAGTTAAACTTATTCGAGTTCCGTTTGACGTCACAAAAAGTGTTTTAATGAGTAGAGATTGAATCTTTGAATGAAAATACCTGAATTCGGGTACCTATTATGTGACTAGAGTTTTAAAATGTATAAGAATTAAATATTTGAAAGAAATTTAGAGTTTTGAGCAAAACTTATTCGAGTTCCCTTTGACGTCACAAAGAGTGTAATAATGAGTAAAGATTGAATGTTTGAAAGAAAATACCTCAATCAGGGTACCTGTTATGACAGTAGACCTTTTTAATGTATAAAGACTGAATCTTTGAAAGAATATGAGACTTTTGAGTTAAATTTATTCGAGTTACCTTTGACGTCACAAAGAGTGTTTTCATGAGTAAAGATATAATCTTTTTAATGAAAATTGCTCAATCAAGGTACCTGTCTTATCACGTGACCTTTTTAAGGTATAAAGATTGAATCATTGAAAGGAAATGAGAGGTTTGAGTTAAATTTATTCGAGTTCCCTTTAACATCACAAAGAGTGTTTGAATAAGCAAAGATTGAATTCTTGAATGAAAATACCTCAATCAGGGTACCTGTTATGTCACTAGAACTTTTTAACGTATAAAGATTGAATTTTTGACAGAAATTGAGAGTTTTGAGTTAAACTTATTCGGTTTCCCTTTGACGTCCCAAAGAGTGTTTTAATGAGTAAAGATTGAATCTTTGAATGAAAATACCTCAATCAACTTACCTGTTATGTCACTTGACCTTTTAAATGCAGAAAGATTGAATCATTGAAAGAAAATGAGGGTTTTGAGTTAAACTTATTCGAGTTCCGATTGACGTCACAAAGAATGTTTTAATGAGTAGAGATTGAATCTTTGAATGAAAATGCCTCGATTGGGGTACCTATTATGTCACTAGGCTTTTTAAATGTAGAAGAATTAAATATTGAAAAGAAATTTAGAGTTTTGAGCTAAATTTATTCGAGTTACCTTTGACGTCACAAAGAGTGTAATAATAAGTAAAGATTAAATCTTTGAAAGAAAATACCTCAATCAAGATACCTGTTATGTCAG